TACTTGCGTATATCGATGGTCGAACGATTCCGTGTATCGAATAATCTAAATTTCTAAATTATCGGATAATTAAGTCGTTATTTTTTATATTTTTTGCTTTTTATTCTTCTGATAAGAGCGCGTTGATGCTCGCGCGCTTTCCGTCCTTCGAACAAACTGATTCGTTTCATTTTGTCGCTTGTACAATTGGCTCCGTCGTAAACATTTTAACATTACTATCTAGGATCGTCTTCTGCGACTTCACCCTTTTGCTATCTCTCTACAATGGTGACTCGCTCAAGATTTACAACGTTCTGGTTCGCCATCAATCATTTCGTGTCGATAGCTAATGACCAGTAACCACTATTATACTCTGGCAATTGACGATGTGTACCAAGCACGGATTAATCGCGCGAGAGGTGTTACGTGCGATCGCTTGTAACGTTATGTTCATAATAGAATTGTGGGAACTAAGAAATAATTCAAACGAGATCGCGAAACAGCGCGGATTTAAAACGCGTTCAATGTTTTTTTTTTCTCGAGTGCATCAAGGACACTCGAAGTACAACTCCAAAGGTAATAATCGCCTTCTCGAACGTGTAATATTATTCGCAATAATAACGTATATCGCGCGATCAGCAACGGCGAAGAACAAGAAATAAATGCAATGCAAATGATTTATAAATTTTTATGATGCAAAATAACGATGACTTATAATCACCAACGAAGTACGCAATTCGAGAGATGCGTTTGAAGGAAAAATCTAATGTTACTTAAAATCGAACGCGCCGCTCATCCTGGGATCAATTTATTTGATAACATTGTCATTAGGAAGGAGGCTGTGGGATCAAGAGGCAGCCACTGGTCCCGGGGGACGATCGGCACATTCGTATAGATCTAACGCTAGGTCACCGTTCGGATTTACCGAGGTCCTATTTACCCTGATTAATCCAATTTCGCTCGAGGCTAATCTCGAGGCTGGCGAATTCGCGCTAACGACAACACGCGATAACGCTTCGTCGCGAAATTACGGGTTCAGACGCGGGAATGTCGGCCCACTGTGTGTGTCGAACTAACAACTAGTACTTTACGAATATTGCATCACACACACTTGACGTTGTTAGATGAATTCGTACAATTTCGTCCGCGCCTCTCCGAGCTCCATTACGAATAAACGCCGTTGCACGACGTAGCGACGAGAACCGGATGAAAACGGAATTTCGTTTTTCTTTTTTGTTTGGTAGGACAGGACAAAGCTCTTTCTCGACAGAAGCCTGCGAGCTGGAAAAAATTTTCATTGCGGCGTCGATCTGTTTCAGTTCACGAGCGAGCGCGAAGCCCAGCCCCGCCGACGAGCAGCAGATCAGCGCAGATTCAGCAGGAAGACTTCACCCGGACCCATTGTTCGACCACGCCGGCCTGACACTCGACGAAACTACCTGTCGAACGCAAAGGCTCGATATCTGATTGTTTTACCCAAGGCAGCTTCACCCACCCGCGCCGACATCGTAGAATGGTAGAAGGTGAACCCGACACAAAGCGCAATATCAGTACGTGCGACTGTAAACTATCTCCTTACTTCCTTTTGATAATTTGCGTCAAGTTCTTAACCGAAATCTCAATTTCACGTTGCAGAGTGTGATGTAAAAGACGAGCGGCTAAACGGTTGCGGTTCCAAGGACCTCGAACTTGCCTGTAGGTATAGAAATTAAAAAAAAAAACGGTCTTTCCGTTGTGTAATCATGCTGAATCTACTGTTACTAATTGTATCTATTTTTTAAATCATCGGATAGGTATCGGATTAAAAGGCAAAACACTCGATCCAGAGAAGGGAGCCTATGTTCAAGCTGATTTCGAGAAGGCCATCGAACTAAGCGGTGAGTTCGCTTTATTCGCATTGAAGTGCCTCTTTTTGTTTTATGTCGCTTCATTGTCGTTGCTTTCGCAGAATATGGCAAGTTTCATTACTTCCTACTCGCCGTGTGCGGCTTCGTCAGCACGAGCGAGGAGATGGACGTGATCTCCATGTCCTTCATCCTGCCGAGTGCGCAATGTGATCTGAAGCTTGATACCCAAGCGAAGGGATGGCTCAACTCGATTATCTTCATCGGGATGATGGCCGGGGCGTACGCATGGGGCTCCATAGCGGACGCTCTCGGTCGTCGAAAGGTCCTGATCGCCATCTCGTTCATGAACGCCCTGTGCATCGTCGCCTCTAGCTTCAGCCAGACGTACGAGCTCTTCATGCTGTTTCGTTTCCTGAATGGCGCGGCGTAAGTATCCAAGTGTATCTAATTGTGTAATCGCGACCGCAGCCGCGACGTAGCCGCGTTACGTGTGCTCGCTCAGCAACGAAAAGGTTGAATAATTTAGTGACGTTCCAGGCTAGGTGGTAGCGGACCGGTCATCTGGTCGTACTTCGCTGAATTTCAGCCGAAGTCCAAGCGCGGCTCCATGCTGTCATTCATGGCGGCGTTCTGGACGTTGGGGAATCTTTTCGTGGCTGGTAAGGCAAAAGTTTCAGTATTTTGTTGACAAATATATACCTAATCTCTCTCTCTCTCTGTACGCCCAAACATATTTGCAATCTCGATTTTTCATCCGCAGGCTTAGCATGGTTGATCATTCCGAGAGACTTAGGTTTCACGAGCTCAACGTTCACGTACAATTCCTGGAGAATCTTCCTGTTGATCTGCGCTTTTCCGTCGTTCGTCGTAACGGGGCTGCTTCTGCTGCTCCCCGAATCCCCCAAGTACCTCTTGTCTTCCGGAAAATACGAGGAGGCACTCGAAATTTTTCGTAAGATATACGTCATTAACACCGGCAAGCCACAAGACACCTACACGGTAATTAGATTTTGACTAATTTAACTTAAAGAAATTTAAGTGCCTCGCCTTGGGGTCAAATTGACGCATAAACATTTTTAATGCTTACAAATTATCATTTTATTTAAAACATCTCGATTTATAATTAATTATAAATAAAAATTAAAAATTCTGTTTATGTGTGAGATATAAATAAATTAAAATGTGGGTCAAATTGATCCCCACGCGAGCATTTACGGGTTAATGTAATCAGCATTATGTAAATAGTAAAGCTTTTTAAATTAATTTTAAAAAAAGTTTCTAATTTGTTACACAGGTAAAAGAATTGATCCTCGATGACTATCAAGAATCGAACCCGGTAAAGGCTGAAGTCGAAGAAAAGAGTAAATGCAAGACTATGCTGAGTGACATCGTGGAGAACAGCAGACTGCTATTCGTAACGCCCATCCTTCGCTTCACGATAATATCGATCATTATTAATTTCACCTTCCATATCGGTTACTACGGTCTGATGATGTGGTTTCCGGAGCTGTTTAACCGTTTCGACGAGTTTCATCGCGATCAACCGGGCGTGGTGGCCTCGATATGCCAGGTCACCGATTATGTCGTTAACAAGGGTTCGCACAGCATCGAGAACGTTTGCTCCGACAAAATCGGAGCGTCCGTATTTATGGAGTCCCTCATCACGGTAGCGTCCGCCATACCCGCCAATATCGTCGCTGTTTTGGGGATGGATCGCCTTGGCCGTAAATTCTTTCTAGGTATTTATTTTAATATGAAAATAATCAAGACTATCGCGACGAAATGTGACATCTTACACCTTTTTTAAATATACTTATTCCAACATTATTTTATATATATGCATTTCCTTCTAGTGTTCAGCACGTTTTCATCAGGACTGTGCTCAATTGGCTTATACTTCGTGTACAACAAATATCAGAATTTGACCGTGTCAGCTATCTTCAGCGGCGCGATAAGTTGCGGCAACGCGGCGTTGGATTGTCTCATCACCGAGGTATTTCCGACGCAGCTGCGTGCAACCGGTATCGCCATATCGATGGTCGCCGCCCGCCTTGGCGGGATAATTGGTAATATTGTCATTGCCCAATTGTTGGACATGTATTGTCCGGCACCAACTTTCATAGTGGCCGCTCTTCTGATTGGTAAGCGCGTCTAATATCTTTCTTCAATTTCGTTAATTTCGATTCTTAAACTTTCTCACTCTATATTCTCATATTTCATTTTGCAGGAGGAGGCTTGCTGTGTTTATTCCTACCGAACACAACGCGCGAACCACTTTCCTGACCTCAACGAAAAATTCATCCCAATCGAGCAACAGGCTATCGATCATCTATCTATCATTTATATTACTTCTGTCGAACACGCACAAGTGTCGTTGAATCTTAGAATCATGGAATCCTGAGCATCACACGACGATTGCACAGTAGCGTTGCAAAGAGAAATTGAAAGCTCGAAATTATTCTCATTTTGCAAGTAGGAAACTAGAATCTCTGCTGTTTATAATAATCCCTATTATAGGTAAAAAAAAAAAAAGAAAGCATAGAACGTTGTAGCGAGAGTTTAGCGAAAGCGATGAAACGAGTGTAACGTCTAGTTTGATACACATTTGATACACAAATTAGGTGCCTTAGTCGAATTTTATACATGTACTGACATTAATAGCAGTATTTAAGTAATTAAATACATGAACCAATTGCGATATATAATAAAGAAATATATATTTTCCTATCCTCTGTGAGTCTCGATTGAAGATCGAGAACGAATGTTATCGCTTTATGTCGCAACGGACGTAACTTGACGTACTGATGTAAAAAGAAATTAAAAGAAAGCAACATATTCCTCGAAGCTTTTGATACTCTTATCAATTTTCTATCCCTATATTAAGATTGAATCCAAATAGCAGACAAAATATATGATACATCTAATAGGAGGGGGCTTTGTATAAGAGCAATCAACTTATAGTCAGCGAATTTCAAATTCAATCCCATGTACGTCTCGATTTTATGAGATTAATTGAAAAGTTGAAGATTACGAATAAAGAAGTATAAAGTAAATAGTAATCCGTCTCGGAAATCCATATTTCATTTATAATATGATACATTTCAGTATATATGCTGATCTGCCGATGTTCGGGATAGGAGAAAAGACGTGAAAGTAAAAGTAAAGACCAAGCAATCTCTATTTTTAACGGTATATTCACGGTATACGTCCATATAAGGTATGAAATTATTCCCTCATCATCTTCTCCTTTTGTCTAGCGAGCTTCTTTTTGCTAAGTTTCTTTTTTGACGGCTCTTCCTCTGTAGCTTTCGCGACAACATCCTCCTTCTCTGTCAGTATCACTTCAATGTGACATGGCGAGCTCATGTAAGCTGTAAAGAATTATAAGTCTGAGCATCTCTGCTATATCCAGATGCACTTTTAAAGGATTAGAACTTGTAAAATTATAAACACTTACGATTTATACGACCATGAGCTCTGTATGTTCTTCTACGAAGACAAGGCGCATGATTTACTTGAATATGCTCGATTACAAGGCGATCCACGTCGAGTCCCCTGTAATCAGCATTGCTCTCTGCATTCTTTAAAAGCTGCAGCAGAAATTCTGCAGACTTTTTGGGCCAACGACCTAGAAAGTAAGTAGTTAGAATATATAGTTAGTAATTAGTAGCTGTCGTAAACCTAAAATTTAAATTTCACGTTAAATTTTATTCAGTTAGATCCAACTTTCCGATGGTTCAATTTTGATTGTCAACGTTTTCCACAAATCGACTTATGTACATTTCTATCAATATAGATTAACTTTAATCTCGGTTTAACTTACGTTTGATCTTTTTCTAGTTCTAAAAATTAGAAAAAGATAAAAAAATAAGTAAATCAAGATTAAAGTTAATCTACATTGGTAGAAATGGATATTAGGAACGGTATACATAAAAATTGAGTGCCGACATACCTTGCGTGGTGCCAAACTGTTTAGCTTGAGCGCACCTGCCGACGCCGCCGTTGAACCTGCGGAAAGGAACGCACTCCTTGTGCTCGATGACGTTCTTCAGGTACTTCTGCGCCCTGCGCAGGGCCATACTTTTGATAGCACGTGCAGCCTCATGGGTGTTCTGTAACGCATGAGAGACAACGGATTGTATCCACGTAGCCGTAAACATCTCCGGGAGGGAAATGTCGCGTTTGAGGTTATACTACCTCGAAGGTACAAGCATATTTACCTTGAAGTGCACGCGAAGATTGGAGCCGCGCGCTTTGCACGACTTGGTCTGGTTGACCGGCTCGTGGGAGTAACGACCCATTGCGTCCTGAAAACACAGACATACCGATCACAACAGACTCTCTTCGAGACCAGCGACGGCCTCCGACCTGTCGGCGTCATGCCTCGCGCTTCTCGCCCGATTTCGCGGCGATTCTCGCGAACGGACGCGATATCTTTCACGTCCGCGTCGCCGCGCGAAACCTCTTACTCGAGAAATTGTCTCTCGCGAAACGAGTACCTCGGCGATGAGCTAGATGCGAGCGGATTTGAAAAAGACAACAAATCGGCTGATACGTACCTCTCGAGACCACGACTTTAAAGGAAAAGCCGTCTCGTCCGCTCCTCCCTAGTGTGCCACTTCCTGTTTCCTGTGCGCGCGCAGGTGCGCCAACTGAAAATCAAGCGAGGTCCTAGATCCTATGCACGTGCACGATTGCAATTGCAAATTGCAACCCCGAACCCCGACTCGGTCGATTTGTTACACGATTTTTAAATATTTAATTTAAATTATTCAAATGACTGTCAAATCCTTTCGATTATACTTCGAGACTCTTCATGCAAAATACGAATAATTTCACATAAAAATTTTACTCATTTTATTACTGTGTCATCGGTTAGCTGCGTAGTGCAAAATTAATTAATTAATTAAATTAAAATTTTCTGGATGAATTTATACTTTTCAATAAAACTGTGCCATCGCGCCATCTCTCGCAAGATCCGTGAACTACTGCTACACATGATTGCTGCTCTGCTTACTAACCTGCGTGAATATTTTTGTGAAAAATATACACGATTTCTTCGGAGGTCTTATTTTTATTCCAGGCTTTCAATCTCAATTTTAAAGGTACGTTATTATTTGTGCACGTCTTCTGAAGAATGGGAACATTTCATTTCGTACATATGACTTATACAACTGTTTATATTAGAAAATATGGTTATGAGGTGACAGCATTTTTACATTTTTTTCAATTATTACTAATTAATTTACATTCCCACTCTTCATTAGTACCTATACTTTACTCCTGTAAAATGATTTTGCGATCTATAAAGCCGTTTCAAAGTAAGACCTTTGACTGTAATTGTCGGTAATTTGAGTCACTTTAGCATCCCCTTAAATAGTTACAATATGTATTTTCTTCCTTGTTGTTCCAGAATTTTAGGTTGACACGCGTTGACACAACACGCTTTTGTCCATCTAATGGCCGGAAGTGGCACGATGGTAGTACTATGCAAAGGATTGTCCGAAAAGAGCGACAGGCAGGAAACATATCTTGAAACATTGGAATCGGCTGGTTATAGTTGTGAATGTTTACAAACTCTAAGATTCGAGTTTGTGAATATCTTGGAACTGCGAGCGCGTCTGTCAGTAGCTGATGGATATAGTGGTAGGTAATATGTCACCTGGTAATACCTATAGTATTACTCCTAACATAATTAAGTTTATATGTCACTTGTACATTATTGCAGGTCTAATATTGACGAGTCCTCGTACGGTGGAAGCTGTTGCACTGGCAGCAAAAGAAGACCCTAGTATCCTGTATCATTGGAAACAGATGCCAGCGTATTGCATAGGACCCACGACGGACTCTCTTGCGAAAAGTCAACTTAACTTGCAACATTGCGTGGGCAGCGACTCTGGTAATTCAAAGCGACTGGCTGAGAAGATTGTTCTTGACATGAAGAAAGATTCAAAACCACTATTGTACCCGTGCAGTGAAATTGCACGTGAAAGTATATGTTGTATCGTCGAAGATAGGATTCCAATCGAAAAGATCGTGGTTTATAGGACGTTAAAGAGCGAAACGCTGGAGCAGGAGCTGCCAAAGATGCTTGACAAATGTCCTAGGATATTTGTTTTTTTCAGTCCGTCTACAGTGGAACATATTAAAACGCAACTAAAGAGAAATTTTTATAATATCAAACATATAAAGGCGATAGCCATAGGACCTGTAACGAGAGATGCGTTAATTAATTCTGGTTTCAATGTATATGCCACTGCAGACAAGCCTGAACCAGTAGCTTTGATGCACGCGATCAGAGCTGCTGAGACTATGGCAAATTCAAGTGAGAATATTTCATGAAAATATGTACTAGTCGCGACATAACTTGTCAACATTTTAATATATTGATATTTGCAATACGTACATTTTAATGCATATAAATGTTTCAAATTATTTTTTTTTATAATAAGATTTTCTTAATTAAATAATCTTTTATCCAGTTCACACACGCGCGCGCGCGCGCGCGCACACACACACGTGTTTAATAATAATAATTATGTAAATAATGTATATATATATATAAGGATAAGTATTCTCTAGAGAGCTGTAAAGATATGTATGTAATAAAATTTATGTAATTCTCATAATTATAATTTTGACTGGGATTATTATCTGGGTGTTTTTCTTACATTGTGTTCTTTTTACTCAGAAAATATAACATACGTATAATAATTGCATTGATAAATAAAGCATCAAATCTTGCAAATTTGTGCGTACACGTATATTATATTGCTAGCAATTTTAATAATATAGTATATATTTGTGAATAAAATATTAGATATTTTAGTCGTTTGAAATAAAATAATATAAAATATATAATATATATTTTTTAATATATATAATATATATTTAATACACGTTTTATATAAATTACAAATACATCTAGATATAAAAAAATATATTTATATATAATTATAAATATTTTATATGCAATATTTATGAATTATATATAATACATAATCTTTTTTTTGCATGTTAGTCTAAATTCTGTATATCACAAACATCAGTAGAATTTTTTATATTAGCCGATTACGTATTTCATTAAAACTTAACCCTCCATTGCTCTCGTGTTAGGCGAGCGCTAACATCACATCTTATTTCTTCAATTACATAGATGTGGCATATAAGTTAACTCTGAAACTTTTTGATTTTTCGTTTACAACCTTTTAGATTATATTTGTACAATTATTTTCCAAAATTTCCTTAATATAATTTTTAGACTAGACTTGGAAAGTCTAATCTAAACTAACGTGTATATCTAACGTATATCTATGCGCAGCACTCATGTCAAGAGCAAATACTCGGAGTCAACGCGACTGCTGTAGCCAAATGCAAGTTTTACTGTTTTAGATTGATGTACCGATCGATGTTTCAACCTCTCTTTCTTACAAGACTGTTTGGGGCCACTATTTTTAACGTTTGTTAATCTCTAATCGACCGTTAACTTTCAGAATACCCAACTTCTATTGACTATTCTGAAAAGTTAATAGTTGGTTCGAGTTTAACAGATGTTAGAAATAGTGGCTCTTGATTTGTGACAACTATGTGGCAATATCACCTTAATACAATGACAAACATACAAGCGCGGCGCAGGGCTAACACGAGGGTACTGACGTTCGTTTGGCGAACGAGGGCAATGGAGGGTTAATATCTATTACGATTTACACCCAGAAGGCACGAAATATCTGAGCCAACTATCGCGGACTGATTCGCATAATAAGGCTGAGGAGCGTTTCCACCGTTATATTTCATTTGGACCGCCGTTTCGTAATCGGGCGCCGGTCTATACGACGGTAATAACGCGCGCAAGCTATTTATATCGCTTGATGAAACAGACACAACAGGACACGGTGACGGTATCGAAAGATCGTTATAGCTTGTCCACCGGGTATGCGGCGTGTCCGATGTTCGATGTCCGAAGTTATCCGAATTCACGGACACTGCTTGCTCACTAGAATCGTTTGTATCATTATCCTGAAATGATACATTAACATTTTTAATTACATAAAATACCATATGTGCATATTTCAATGTCTAACGAAATAAGTGTTAATTTACGCACACAGCAGCCACTAGATCTTTCTTGCGGATGGCGTTCTTGATACTGTATATAAAATAGATGTTGAGCTATGCATAATCTCCATATATATTTTGTATCGCGCGACTCGTTAAATACAAATTGCTTCGCTCCTTCCGATTTATACTCTATTATAAACGTTTTCTTTTCTTTTATGACATTATTGATGTCTTTCCACCTGCAACGTATAAATTAATTCATTTTTAATATGGTGCAATAATTTTTAGATCACATCTAAAATCACGCATAGTAAAGTAAAGAGTAAAATAACCTGTAACATTGCGTTGCTTGTGTATTAGGATAGGCCACCATAATTCCATTGATAGAAATTCCAAGTATAACTTTGTTGTTACTGTTATCCTGAAATACATTTCCATAGTTGCAACATTCGAAGCAATAAGAATTAATCAGTTATCATGCTACTACCATCAATACTCTGCTATTTATACCTTGGCAGTAAACGTTTCGGTGCCGTATCCCTCTAGTTGCATGGCAAGCGAGATATATAGTTCTTCCGCAGTAGCCTGTGTCATATTAACAAAACCCTTGTACTGGAATATTGCTGCGTGTAAAAGAGAATCTTGCCCGCCTGGGTCCGTTTTGCTTACATCCTAAATATGGAAATATCAAATTTAGATCTGTACGACATTTGCAATTAAAGTAATGCAGCTTTGACAATTGGCGTTACATTTGGGAAGAAAGTGCACTGCTGGAAATATTCCAGGGTATGTCTTTCCGGGCTATAATTTCCAAACTCGGCTTGCATAGAATAACTCGCTAACACGCAAGCTTGTCTGTAATTACAATGTATCTTGTTCTCCAGCACGTCATTCTTCAGTTGAAGATAATAATGATATCTGTGGAAGAAACGGAGAGACATGCAAAATTATATTCCCCATATTTGCTAAGAGGCTTATATCTCACTTGAGCAAACGATAAAGCCAACCTTGTCATTTCGTCTTGAATAAGCTGTACGTCCACGATGTAGAACATAACTCTTAAATAAAGCGTAAGGCTTTTAGCCTCTTTCTCAAGCTGTCTCTTCAGAGGCTTGTCCATGTCTACCCATCTAAGCGACGACGTGTTGCGGCAAACGTAGCGCAGGCTAAAATACTCGGGCTGTCCCAGGCCCAAGCGTTGCGTCACGTTGTCCAGGCACTCCTGGCCAACGCTGTCGATACTGAGGGTGCATTCTATCGAAGTGGCGTCCAACAACTCGACACAGATCACATACTGATTCTTGGACACGACGTTGTACTGCCTGCTCTTCTTCAAGTGGAACTTAAATGGCATTTTGGCAGCTGCGAAGTAGCTGAAAAAAAATACGGCAGATGAACACATAATACGTGATTCGATCCAAGGAAGGTCTCAAGATACGAGTACAGTAGGTTTATAGGTTAAGAAATTTCGAGAAACTAACGAGGCTACGGTCAACGTGACGCTACAAATGCTTTGGAGCGTTCTTCTTCTCCTTCTTTCTTCATTGAAAGAAAAGAGAAGAGGAATGCTTCGAAGCATTTGTAGCGTCACGTTGACCGTAGCCTATATTAATATCACTTCACGGCGTTACGGCAAAGTGGGGTTACAATTCCGATTTACGAATGAAGCGTCGCAACAACAGTTTGGCGTTGTGACAACGAGTCAAGATAACGATACACATTTCAAGCGGTGCGCACACTCACCCGATGTCTTAAAATACCGTACACTCATCACTCCCCTGGGTAAACATCCACTCGGCGACGCACGTCACGTCACGCACGCGAGATATACGTGTACATTTTGGCAATTCGCGACTCCGCTATCGGCATCCATATCAGTTGCTATCAGCCGATATCAGACGGAACATCGAATTCCTCTTTAAAGCACTCGTTCGGCCTCGCGGTCCACTTTTCGCCTTCTCGGTATAATGGTATAATTCGGCGTTCGACAGGAAAGCTTGCTCCTGCCTCCGGCGGCTCCGGCTTGCTTTGCTTGTCCGGCGCGAGAGTATCGATACTTTCACCCCGGCTGCGGCGAGCATCGATGCCGAGATATCGAGAGGCCGAGGAAGAGGCATCGATACGCACCCACCGTCGCGTTGGAGTACTCGGAGTAGTCGGAGTCAATGGCCATCGCCACCGGCTACAGCTGGTCGTGAGTCTGGCGGAGCGATTCGCAAGCGATGGCGGTCGTCGCGCGCGTCGTGCCGACGTGCCGCTGTCAATAATGAGAAAAAGGGATATCGCCGCATCGCGCCCGCCCGCCCGCGCTACCGCTATCGCCGCAGCCGCCGCCGCTGCGTCGTCCGCCCACCGAATGCTGATAAGAGGCCGCGGTTAGATCCCACGCCGCTGGATCCCCGCTCTCGGTGTCTCACATGTGCCACGCGCGAGGAAAATGAGCATCCTGCGAAAGAGGTAAGTAAGTGAGGTGTCCGCGCGTGCGACGCCTGCGGCCTGTTTCGATTGTTCGTTTTACCCGTGGGTTGATTGCAGATTGACCGAGTTCGACGACGTTCTCGACGCGGACGAGATAGAGACGGCCAGCCTCAGTAAAATATGTTTCCACGGTACGTCCGTCACGTATGGTCGACTCCCCGCTTCGTCCACTCATTCGCGGAGACGATTCTGCTATCTTGTTTACGAGCTCTCTCGTGTTGGTCCTCTCTCGACGCAGCTTTTCTTATTTCAGGCATACCTGACGAGCCTGGCGGCCTGAGGCCCCTGTGTTGGAAGCTGCTGTTGAACTACCTGCCACCGACAAAGTCCAGTTGGTTAGAGACTCTGAAGCGCAAAAGGGAGTTGTACAATACCTTCATCGGTGAGAGGATACTTTGTTACTGTTGTTTGTTCGGTGAAGATAATTTAGACTGAAGTTTGAAACTTATGTACGACGTTTTTGTATTCGGCGATTTTTCGCAGAGGATCTCATTGTTAATCCTGGAGAATCAAATACCGACGACAAGGAAAGAGTCGACGTAACGTTGCACGATCATCCACTCAATTTAAATCCAGACAGCAAGTGGCAAACGTACTTTAAAGATAACGAGGTTCTACTTCAGATCGATAAAGATGTTAGGTGAGTAAATTGAATCGTGTAAACGCTTTGAAAGCTTTCTTTCTGAAGCATTGATAAAAACAGAAAATTGAGACAATAAATTTTACTTACAGGCGGCTATGTCCAGACATATCATTTTTCCAACAAGGCACCGATTATCCATGTCAGAAAATAGTGAACGCTAATGGTCAGCGTTTGCATCACAGAGTTCAGCACACGGTTCTGAAAAGCGCGAACGTTGAAAGGAAAGGCTTAGGGGTGACCAAGGTAAAAAAAACTGCAAATAATCAAAGCTTCCATCGCTAAATTCCTTGTTAAATTTATTAATAGATTTTACTTGTCTTTGCTCTTACGTTGACGTGGAAAGCAGCAGGTATTATAGACGATGCAAGTAAAGTAATATGTTCTACCTAAGATAGTATTGAAAAGTCCTTTTAATATTTTTGTATTTTGTTCTTGTAAACAGAGTCAGTGTGTCAGTGAGATAATTTCATAACATTTTGCGGATACGGTACAACTCGCGTTATCACGCTACATTATTATATTTTATCTGTTAGATAGCGGTTTCCGTCAGAAAGGCTACGGAAGATTACGCGCCATTGGCCGAAGGTGGTGAAGCACACTGGGAAGTTTTGGAAAGAATACTCTTTATATACGCAAAATTGAATCCCGGCCAAGGTTACGTGCAGGGAATGAACGAGATAGTCGGACCTATATATCATGCATTCGCTTGCGACCCGGATCCTACATGGAGAAGTGTGTATTACGATTTAAGAGCGATTGAGATGTATAAATGATATCTGCTGATAGCGATATACGTATCTTTCGTTTCGTAGAACACGCCGAGGCAGACACTTTTTTCTGTTTCACTAATCTGATGGCCGAAATACGTGATTTCTTTATAAAGACGTTGGATGAGGCTGAATTTGGAATTAATTCGATGATGAGTAAGCTGACCAATCAAGTACGAGCTAATGATCCCGAGGTTTGGCTGCGTCTACATCAGCAAGAGCTATGTCCGCAATATTACAGCTTTAGGTATAGTATATGACGTCACGTATCGTATAATGATATGATTGTCATTATCACTAGTATTTATAATTCTCATTGTTATCATTATTGCTGCGAACAAGATGGTTGACGCTTCTCCTTTCGCAAGAGTTTCCCTTGCCGGATGTTATGAGGATATGGGATTCCTTGTTTGCCGATGAGAACAGATTCAATTTCCTCATACACATCTGCTGTGCCATGATCCTGTGAGTAAACAAATTTTATCATTTTTTCAGCAATAATCTTCGTTCTCTCAACACATGTGTATGCATTTTTAGATTACTGAGGGACCAGTTACTGGCCGGCGATTTTGCTACAAACGTTAAACTCTTGCAGGTGAGATATATATATTTTATTACATATATGTGTATTTATATTTTGTATTATTATTATTATTATTATTATTATTATTAGAATATAAGATGCTATGTCAAAAATAATATGTTCTATGTCTAGAATTTTCCCTCGATGGACATCCAGATTGTGCTCTCTAAAGCCGCTGCCCTGGCAGGCAAGACTTTATAATTTTTTAAATTATTAATTAAGATTTCTCGACATGTCGAGTATCATTTTCTTCTTCCTCCCGAGTTACGACCACATGCGTGATATATCGTGAAGCGTAATTTTATATACCATTCGTCATTCCCGAGGAAAGAAATGCAATAAAATATCAATTATAATATAATATCATGTAGATGTTCAAGCTGATAGCCGATCTTATATCAAATATTTAACAGTTGTATATATTGATACACGCTCTCGATTACTGAGATCTACATACAGCATTTTGCCACGTGTTAAATTTTTTGATATATTTAAAGTGTATTTGTGTACATACATACAATGTTGAAATGTAACGTTTGGCTGAGGAGTATATCAAAGTATAAATTTATACAAGAGGTACGATAATCATTTCGTAAACGGCAGGTAATGATAAGATGAGGGTTAAGTCGAAGAGGGAAATCTGATTTAAGCTTTCCCCCCGATTGTCCGATACAATATGAATTTTGCAATAATCGCATCACAATAGATTAGTACCATCTATATGCGCCATAATAATTACACGATACGTTAAGAGGAGAAATTACATTTTGTAATCTTATTTTTGTAATAAAACGCGCCGTTCGAACTATGTTTATAAAATAAAGGGAAACGTTATCAGTTCCATCCTATACGTATCTCTATAATTGGATTACTTTGCAAGCGGTCGACGACAACTCGAGCTTTCTAGAAGCAGAGCGTTCTTCATATTCTACTCGCGAGAGAGCCACAGAGTGAGAGGGAGGGAGAGAGAGAGAAACCAACGAGATCATTATTGGATTAATAAAGCCACCGCGTTCCCTAGCAGAGTAAACCGAATTTCCAGATTTTATTTCATCTCGTCTCACTCTCTGCGGAGTAGAATGATTGACCCGAACGACGGCAGGAATATTAATCAGAAAACATCTTGGTTATTCTCGCGCCGAAGCTACGCGAATATTTCCATCGCGGATCGCGTAATAGCGTGATAGAGATAGACTGGAATTATCAAAGAACAATGAAGAACTGAGAAAAGAAAATGTTTCGTGCATAAGCTATAAAAGCTTATATCCCTTTATATCGCGAAATTAAAAATAACGCAAAATGATATCTTTGCGTGTAAACAGCATAGAAAATTACAGAGGCCGCGGTTCAACCGGCCTTCCTCTTTATCACCAACGACCACCGACACACGCTTTGTTGGGGGACATCCAGTCGTCGCGGCCCGGACCCCCGGCGTGGCGAATCGCCTGCCGTATCTCGTGATTTTGAGGATAGGCGCGATCCGAATACCGTGTATAAAAGTCGCGCGAGGTCCCGGAGAAAAAGCACCCGCGTGTGGGTGGACTTTTATGGCGGTTGATTACCTGATTTATAATCTCAGTTCGCGCGCGGGGGCCCGTCCGAGCTAGGCTTGGCGACGGCGGTGGGGCCCCGTCCCTTGATCGAGCCCGCAAATCATCGTCGCGTTTTGGAGACGAAGGATACCCTTTTCTTCGACCCTCTGCACTCTAGCCGAGTATCGATACTTGGCTAGAATCCAAGGCAAAGCATCGACGTTGCGAGTGTTCTCCAATATCGGAAAGCGTGTTCATCTTTTGATGCGCGCGGACGACAAGTAGGGCGACCGTAATAGCCACCTGATGGCAATCAGGGCTTAACGAAGAGGATCCAGGAGCAGCGGGCAAGCTCTATAAAACCGCACAAAAACTAGGCGACAGTAGATATACCTACCGTAAACGCGCCCGTCGTCATTAGGGTCGGAAGCTCAAAATTTACCTCGGCCATCCCTCTCGTCGCCGCCTCTCGGCTAATCAGAGATCGCGGATTTTATGATCGTTGATGCGATCGTTAAAGGATATACGCGCTGGGGAGACGGCAGACGGCTGCCTTCTGGTAGTCGGGACGACGCGACGTCGGGGATTCATCAGAGGTCGAGGATAGACTCTCGAGTTCTTATTAAGGTGAAATCCAGTCCGAAATCAAAGCAATTCTCGGTGATTACATTGTATTCCGTTTATGAGCGACACGGAAAAAAATAATAGAGAGGCGTCTAAATAATCTACCAAAAATACCGTCCGTTAATTGCGATTGACGCTTTTTTAAAAGCGTGGGAAATATGGAAGTATCCCAATCGACACAGCGCATCAGTTACATTATACACAGGGTAAACAGTACAGTTGTTGGCACTCTACAATGATTGGCCACTTAAAAAATTAAAGATTATAAAGAAATACTATTAAATGTTTTTAATTATAAGAAAAATAATAATTGTAATATTTTTGTATTTATAATTAAAAACATTTTAATATAGCCTATTTCTTTATAATCTTTAATTTTTTAAGATGTGGCCAATCCATTGTACAGTGGCCAACAACTGTACTGTTTACCTCTGTTATGTTATAATTTCACACTCAACAATGTGCTATATTACGTTTATGCATTGTTGATTGTGAAATTATAACATAGTAGACGTAATGTAACTGATGCTCTTATTTGATGTACGATTGCGAGGTGGAGTTCCACGCGAGGGTTGGCTACGCCATTGGGCGCGGGCCTCGGATTTGTGTCGAATACACGCGGGTTACCGGACTTCTCCCACGTCAGCTCGAGGAGGTGACACACGGAGCCACGGGGTTGACGAATGTGCCACACGATCGGCCGAGGATGACTCGGCAGATTGTTCGCCAGCGTTCCCAGCGGTGGTCCCGGTGCGCCTGCATACAGCTTGGATTGATGGATCCTGACCTCTCAAAGGAGGGCTTCGGCACGCCTTTCGGGATATGATAGATTCGTGCGCGACCTAATACGGACTTGGGAATCGCGAGAGGGAATACCGCCGATCCATCTCGCGTCTCGCTCTCGCTGAAACGTGAAAAGCTCTCGAGTCTCCCAGCGTCCGAAAAATCTCAGCGTCTCTATGCGTCTTCCGACGATTGCATATAGCTTTCTTTATATCCAAGCTGTTTTGACTGCGCCCGGCAAATACGAAGAAATTATAACTACAACTTACATGCAAGTTGTGATTTCCCTGATGGTGAAAAAAATTTCTCATATTTTCTCAGAAATTTTATAACTGAAAATTACGAAAAATTCTGAAAAAATATATAAAATTTCTCAGATATTTTTAGAAATAATTGGATGGATTTTCAGATTTTCTCATATTTATTCAGATTTTTACACAGACGTGTTGGTGGGAAAAATCTGAAATATTTTATTATTATTTTGTCTCAGTTTTTCTGTTCCGGTTCAGGAAAAATGTTCCAGTTCGTATTAAAAAATCTGATAAATTCTAATCATTCTGGGGAAGTCTGAAAATTTGTCTAGACATTCTGATTAATAACATGAAAAATTCTGAGACATTTTTCCATCAGAGTTCCTACTCAACAATGTAAATGCAACATAATACGTGTACCCTTCACGGAATGAGGGAGGTTCCAAGTTCGAACCCTGTCTGAAGTCATTTTTATATTTCTCGCAATATATTCTATATAGTTATTTTTAGATGCTTAGCATCAAAGTTAAATCGAATTGATTTAATTAGGGGGAGGGAGGGGATTTACTACTCCAACGGGAACTGTGTTGTAAGCCTGATAATTTAGTCGGCGCGCAGTTTGCTATAAGGTTGAAAAAAAATGTGTAATACAGAAAAATTATTAGGCTACTAAGATCTCCAAGCTCGGACCGTAAATGGCTTTTATGCTAATTTGATTATAATACGTATGTCATTGAAATTATAACTTGCATGTAAGTTGCATGTTACTTGGTGTTTGTTGGGCTCTTCATCAAACCGTTTGAGCCGCGCGACGCGACACATCGGGCACTGTTTACAGTTAATTTACCGTACCGTGGCACGGCGCGCTATCTCCTATTCGTTGGTGGTCCAACGTATCAAAGATCTCAATCATTTATTTGTGCCGGTGGATACACTCAGCATGCGCGTCTATCTGTCGTTTCGTGCATTGTACGCGAGGTTTTACCTCTCTCATGCCGCGCGGAGAGACGCGTCACGACGTTACGAAGCCGATTTTGTATATTGCCGCGCGTATGTTGTTCCATTACATAATAACTCGCTGCCATCCGGCCGAGAGAGCCCGATCCTTAGATTATCGGCATTCGATCGATAGACGTCTACAGTCTACACCGACAACCGTCCGGCGTTCGCCGCGCGATCGATCCTCCGGGATGATCCTTTGGTCTTCGCCGCCATTCATCCCTCCTCTCGCGTGAATGCGGGGCCTTGTTTCCGCTCGCGACGTTTCCGGCTGTGCGACACGGATATTGGTACGAGGAAACGTATCCTCTCAATTCAACGGAATCGATATTGCCTCTCCCTTAGGTAGTTCTAATACCTGCTCGTGTGTGTGTGTGCCAGAATTCGGCGTCTATCTCTGCTCTTAGCGAAAATTCGGCGAGAGACCGTCTCTCACGTCCCGAACAAAACGCATATCGCGTAATAACGAAATCCTCATTCCCCTTTTCGGGGAAGGGGAGGTGCCCTAGAGTTTAGCGATCTCTAATGAACTGCTAGCCCGTTAGTTGGCTCAGTTCTCTGTCCGTCTCTCTCTTTCTCTCTCTCCATTTCATCTGTGTCTATGTATGTTGC